TAGGGACATGCATAGAAATGGGAGTATTTACCTTTTGTGTGCCCAGATCTTCAGCTGGGCTGCCTCTTTGCATTCAGAGTTCATAATTGTGCTCTGTTTCGCTGCTCCAACAAGTGGAGTCCAACAAATAGATAAGAGGAGGAAAATGCAGTTAGGCATGTCCCATCCTACTTTTCCTGACTTTCATTCGGACAGATATGTGGCCCCTTGAAAATGGAAAGTTGATAAAACTCTAATGTGCAAGTAAAATGTAGTCTTTCTCCAAGCAGAAACTGCCAGGATAGAATGAAACTGGTTGGTAATCCCGTGCAAGCAAAGTGAACCACCTGTGGTAAAGTTAGAGATCTTGGGAAGCAGATTGTCATTACTTTAGTAATTATACACAAACACTTCTTAGTAAAGTGGATTAGAATTTAAAGAATAGATCAGCTTTATGTTCCACTATGAAAAAGGAAAAGTGTGTTAATTGCTCATAGACAGTAGCTTACACAGAGGCACTTCACAGCTGAAGAATATGATATGGAAAAGACCTTTGTTTAAATAACACGAACAGTGTTGTGACATGGACCAACTAAAATCCTTAATGCATGGCAAGGAAAATAGAAGCATATGACATAAAAAGAGTTCTGGATTTAAGTGTAGTATTTGGGGATGCCATCTGTGTCAGGCATAGCTAAAGGCACTTTTTTGTATCTGCATTTCTTTCTTAGGCTTGTATTAAATATACACAAATATTTTTATGTGAAGTGATTGCAAAACATAATATGTATGAGTAGTTTCCACATACTTCAGTTAAATATGCATATGGATTTGAAAATCCATTTAACCACAACACCTAAGAAAATAAAATTCATTATTTCTTTTAGTGTCGATCTAATACTTTAGTGTTGATCAGAAGAGCACACATAATGTTGTCCCTAGCAGCTGGAATTGTACCACTCTAATTATCAGGTTATAATTCTCTTACAAAAAGAATTTTCAAAATTAAACAGCATTAATATATAAGCCCATCAATAACTGCATTACAGCCTTGCACTTACATAAACCTTCAGGTAAGATTATGGTATTTCAAATGTCTGAAACAGTTGTTGATCTTAAATACCAAATACACAGCAATAGTTAAACTGATTAGGGATAAACTTTTAGCCTTTGTTCTGAAGTTCCTTGCAGAGTGGATTTAATTCAGACCTTAAATCTCCCTTGAATATAATTTATTTAGTACAGCAATATGGGGCCTTGCATGTTTTTATAAGTAGTGTTCAAGTATTTATTGCATAAATTAGTTTGTCTACAAACTCTGACCAACTCCTGATAATACTTGACCTACCATTATATACCTGTGGTAGTATTTGACCTTGAGATATTTTTGTAGTTATTAAATGTTTAATCTTTTGTAGTATCATTTATTATCATTAACTATCAGTAATTTAAAAATGCTTTCATACAATTTGCTCACTTTATCCATTTTTTATTTGCAGTTGAAAAATGAAGAAAAAGATACATATGAGGAAAACCTCCATTACCCTTTTCTTCTCATTTTAACCAAACAGATATAGAAGATTACACCTTTTTTTTTAAGATGGACTGCTGAAAATTAATCCATGTATGCGGATGGTCAGGCAGTGTGGAATGTTGATTTTCCCCCATTTATGTCCCTGAATCATCATCGGAGAAATATTTTCTAATCTAAATGCTGAGAAAGATACTGTGGCTCGTTTTGCAGAGTATAAACATTGAGACATCTTTTTTTTTATCATTTTAGGAGTTATTTTTCCCATTATATTCCAGCCTTAAACTGATCGGACTCCAGATGTATGCATTAACAAAGGTGTAGAGCTGGCTTCCTTCTCTTTTGTGCCTTTAAACTTGCATGTACTTTGTTGATCTCTTTAAATGCTATTTTGAGGTATATTTGAAACTATATGGATAATATACTTTGTGGGCTTAGATAATTGGTTGTAAAGGAGTGAATGCATTGACACTTAATTAGTAAGGAAATAGTTGTCTGAATCTGAAGATCTTTCTTAAAGTGCACCTATTGAATGCTTGTATTTTGCTGCCTATTTTTTTTAATTCCACTGTTGATTTTTCTATCCATGATTGAAATGTCCTCATTTGCTTTAGTGTTGAAGGCTCCTTTTCTATATGTGTATATGTATGTTTTTTTCCAGCAGGACTTTTCCTCCTGTAGATGTATAAGAAATTATGCATCAGACAAAAGCCTCATAAACTGACCATTTGTCCTTTGGACACAATAGCCTGCCCAGCCCCTCTGCTCCTCCTCTCCAATTATGTGTGATTAGTCTCAGTGTGTTGTGTCAAGAAGGGGGAGTGTGCTGAGTGCTTATTATCTGTTTAGGTACAAGAAGAGCACATTTAGGTTCTGACTATGAATGGAAAGTGAGTCTTTATCAGGACTAAAATCTAAATGCTACTATCCTAGAAATTGCTTTCAAAATAACACGTTTTTTTTTTTTTATAAATTCCAAGAAACACTGTAAGAACTAAAGGATTTTATAATGTAATCAAACTGTCTCCCTTGAATTGGTTTATATTGTGATATATTGTCACCCATATATTTGATATACACTTAATGTGTTTTTTCTTGTACAGGAAAAGACAAAAATCCTACAAAGAAACAGGAGCAGTATCTGATTTCTTAACAGTTTAACAGACTGTTTTAATGACTTCTACCAGTAGCAGTCTTCAAACCATAACACTTTTAAAATGTTGAAAAAAGAGAGAGAGGCAGAGACCATGACTGAGAGAGGAAGGTACTAGCTGCAAGCAAGTGTAGAGAATCCTGCTGAAATACATTAATTAAAATAATTTCAATTTGACAATAAGCATTCTTCCATATTCAACCCATTGGCCAGCATGTAAACTACAGGCTCCTGAAAGTCCCTTGCACTTCTGCTTCTTCCCAAATAAATTTCTTCACTACCAGTTTGCACGTCCTTGTATTCAGTACTTTTTATGCTCCATTAGAGCACCTAGATGGATCTCAGAAGGCATAGGTCAAGTCGCAGTTAGATCATACATTTCTTTCGCACAAAAACTTGAATTGCAATGCCAAGTGATGGGCTAACATCACAATAACAGCAATTTATTCCTCTTTTGATAAAAAGCAGCCTATTCTCGGTGTTAGATAAAGACCAGGGGCAATGCAAACCAACCATTTATCCTAGAACTGAGTCGTATAGCTGGTATGAGTTTCATATTCAAACTCCTGTTGGAAAATAGTTGTGTAGTAAGAAATCAAAAGCATTTAGGAGTAATTTGAAATTGATGTGAAGATGGCTTTAGTGTAATTAGTTTTGTTTTGTTTGTCCCACACAGCAGTGCCTTTGTTTCTCTAAAAGCATGTACAAGGAAATCTTCATAATCAACAAAGCAGTGTGGAAAATAACACAATATTAAAATTTGCAAACCTTTTATTTTTGAGAGGACCTGAATGTCTGCTGTACAATAATCTAATAAAGATTGTTAGTTGCTAAAAATAGAGGCAACATCATTTGAGAATTGCGGTTTTAGCTCTAAGAAGAAAACAGTTTTGCTCAAATTCGTAGCTGATAATTGCTTTTTATTTCTTTAGTGTCTGTTGTTTGAGTTGAAGGCTTTGCACAGGTGCTGCCATCCCTAAAGTGTGTAATTGATGGCTTGTTTACCAAAGATGCATTTAGGTTTCATCCTGCAACTCATATTGGAGCTCCACAGGCAGTAAAGTTACTCATCTACATAAGAGCTTGCAGGTTTGGTCCATGTACACATATTTAGAGGCACATAAACACGTTCTCTTTTTGATTTTTTTTTTTTTTTTAAATGGGTGTTGAAAAGTCACAGGTATAGGATTTACATGAGGCACTAAGAGTGTTCTCTTTTAGATATATCTTTGAGTCTCTTGCATTAGTGGGTATTTGAATTGTTTCGGAGCACTTAAATTTTAATAAAAATACAGTGTTTATTAATACATCAAATATCTTTGCTAAGAAAATGTTAGGCAGTTTGGCAAATCATGCTTATAAAATGTATCAGAGCCTTTTATGTCATGTGTTTTAACTAGTCTCTGATACTTGGTATATTTTTAATGATATAATTTACAGTGTTCTGTAACAGAATATTGAGCTTAATTACTTTGTGTTTGCAAAGCATTTGAAGTTGAATGACACTGTGCAAGAGCTATGCTGGCTTCACTGAGAATGGAAATGTTAGGCTGATACAAGTTTTCCTTCACATATTTTGGTAATTCTTACAGCAGTGCTGTGTCTTCTTTCTCAGAGCCAAATGGCAGAGAGAAGTGGTGTTCTTGTGAACATCCATTCCTTGGGCACAGCTCTCATGCACCTGGTGCCACTGACAGTTAGTTGTCTAATCTTCAGGATATGAAAGATCAAGAAGAAAGTGTTCTATTTCCTGCTGTGAGATATGGCAACGCCTTGCTTTAAAATTGCAAACTAGTCCCAACTGATAGCATTCTGGAACACTGGGAAAATTCTTTCCATTTAGGAAATAAATTTGATTTGAAACAGAAAATGTCTTAAGAATGTGAGATGAGGCAGGAGAACTTGTGATCCCAGGTACCAGTCCAGCTTCAAAATCCTTATTAGACAAGTCATTCACGTTTTGCCTGTGGCTTTAATGGCTACATGTTTGCACAAGGAGGAAAGCTGGATTAAAATTGTTCCCCCCCACAAAAAACATCTTTCTATCTTGAGCCTGGCTGCAAACAGTCTATCAAGTGTTACATCTCCATTACAACTCTCCTTCGCTGTTCCCTGAACAAAAGAGGATGCAGTGGGTGGAGCTTTTGATACTCCTCTTGATATGGCAGGTGGCACAGCTGATATGGCGGGGGAAGAGGAAAAAGGCAGCAACACATGCAAGTCAAACAGCACAGTGTTTTATTACCCACTCTTTCTAATGCAAAAGGGGAATAACCAAGTCCTTGTTTTTTTACAGGAGAAATTATAAACATGTACTTTAACCTGGATTTTAATTTTTTTTTTCCAGAGTGTGTGGTTTTTTCTTTTTTAAGGCAGGGTTTTTTAACAGTGATGTCAAACTGCAAATTCCTTTAACTTTTGAAATGTTTTGAGAAACTGCGAGAAAGTGCTAGGATAGCATGCACTGGTGGTTATGTCTAGAATGTTTTCTGCACAGCCTGGTCATCCCATGTTGTTTCCTCAGAAAGAGGCAATTTTTTTTGCTTTCTATCTTTTTATTTGCTTTTTATATTGTCTTGAGTCTGATTAAGGCGGTGTCTCCACTGCCACATATTGGTAGTTTAACACTGGTTGTAAGTCCACCGGTATCTTTTGAAAGATTGTTTTGAAAGTTGATTTTCAATATGATTCTCATCTGCAATGCAATAGCACTTATTAATGCAGTCAAAATGAGGGCACCCTCATTCAAAATCCCGTAAAGTTTAAAGAAGGTCAATACATGACTTGGTAAATTTGCTGATGAATGTGTAAGTAAGGAGGGGACCCCCAAAATGATGCCCATTCCTCATATGAGGAAACCTGAAGCACAGCCAGTATTGCTGTCTCTGTTGCCCCATAGCAATTTGGAAATCAGGCAATGCACTCTAGAATTGACCCCAGATTTTGTGAGACCCACTGCTGCATCTCCTCTGCAAGATCCATCTCCCTCTCCAGCCTGTGGTCTCTGTTCCAACAGCTGAATGTAACAAACCTAACTTTTCTTTCCCATTTTTAGAGGGTTTAGCCTATTACAGCTCCTTGCTTAGTCAGCAGCTGGCTTGCTGCCAAAAAGCCCAGCATATTGTTGTGGCTGGGTAAAAGCTGGATATTTTCCATGGCTGTCCAACAGCGGCATTGGATCTTCATTGTCTTCTCGTGTGTAAAGTGTGTGGAAAGTAGAGGGAAGATGCACGAAGCGTTAGTCCAGATGGCATTCCACAGCCTGAGAAGAAACATCTTGACCCTCGAATCTGGGTTAAACTCAACAGATGCCAAGCCCCCAAAAACAAAGAGCTGTTGTGGCTGATGACAGCAAAGGAGAGATAGGCCTTTGGTAACAGAAAGTATCCTCTATTTTGGATGCATTTCCCTGCAAATAACCAAAACAGTGTCACTTGTAGAAGATTTCTTATTAAAAACAAGCAAAAAAATGGTGGTTGTCTGCATTAGGCATCGTCCCCCTTCAGTTGTAAAATGTTGCCCCTGGGTGACAGGTTATGCTCGCAGAAAGGATTTGAACATTCAGACTGCGCTGTGCCCTGACAGAGCCTGCATGCTAAAAGACCTGTTATTTTTTCCTGACTCTGACTCCAATTAATGTACTTTTTAAATGATTAAACATATCATGCTGTGACTTCTGAAATGTCAACAAGCTTCGAAACTTGGGAGACAGGAATGTAATAAAATAGGTAATAGGAGATTCAATAGTTAATAGAGGCCCTGAAGTGTGAGTGTATACAGTAGCTGTATATTGGAAACTGTGCAAATGAAGATGGCTTAGTATTGCAAACTGAGGAAGAAAATTGTTTTTAATTAGCACCTTCATAAGAACTGCTGATTAATACTGTTTGGTTTGGTGAAAAGCTTTCAGCTGAGTAATTTGTACAGCCATTACAACAGTTTTGTTAGACCAGGACTCCTGTTGTTAAACACAAACAGCAGATGATAATGGTGGAAGATGAGTTTGTCATGTAACAATTTACCTTATTGAAAAAAGCTTTATATAAAACCCAATACAGTAGGTACTAGCAGAAATCACATATTTTAAATCCTTTCAAGATTGCAGTGTGTGATGCTGGTATGTTTTTTCATGGAGGAGAAACAGATTTTATATCATTTATAAAATTATATGTACAATTTAAAGGTGTTGTAGCATGGACAGACCACTTTACTGGTAGTGCTTTACATCAGGATGGTAAAGTGCTGGTATATTCAGACACTTCCTAAGTATACAAAGTCAGTCTAAAATTTGAAAGGTAATTAAGTAATATTGTTCACATGCAAATGTATGTTTGTGCATTATGCACTGAAATTACGTCTGGTGTTTATGTGATGTCTAGCATTTATACCTAAGGCTTTAAGGAGATTTCTCCCAGGTTAACTACTACTGTTCACAGCAATTGCTTCCCCTTCCTTTCAACTGACAACAAAAAATTAAAACCCCTTATCCATGTCTCCATAATACAGAGGCATATGCATTTTAGTGGCCCAGATACAAAATTTAGTGCAGTTTGTAGAAACTGAGGGATTTTATTAAATGTGGTAACAATGAAGGAATATCTGCACTAAATTATGACGCTAACCAAGGATGGTAAGATCTGTAAATTATTGGAGTGCTATAATAGAACATGAGAGTTTTCCTTTAGACAGGCCTTCGGGGTAATAACAAGGGTTGAGACTCACGACAGTGCCAAATAAGCTTTAGACAGCATAATAGTCTGCAAAGAAAAGCCACAGAGCACTAATGTAAAAGAAGAGCTGTCCACCACATGCAGTAAAAATCACCAAAGGTCATTTTATGGTAGCAATTGTGACATAAAATTGGTGGTCATGCTACATGTCTAATACTCAGCACAGCTTTATAAATGATGGGCCCCTAGCGATGGCTGTCATTAAGTGCTTTCATCATAATAAACTTTAAACTGTTGGCTTTATGAATCGCCAGCCAGCTTCAGCTGTTCGTTGGATGGAGCTTGCAGTGCCTTAAGTGTGACAAGGCCTATTAGGAACTGCAACCATGTTTCAAGCGTACTTGGCTTTCCCACTCCTGGGGTGATTGCTGCCTATTAAATGGCATCTGGGAAGATTTTCCTCCAGCAATCTCTGATCAAGAGCTTTTTTGGGCTTTGACCTGCATTTCCTTCAAGACTTTCTCTGAGGAGTTTTATAAGAGCAAAACTCCAGAGGATTTATAGCCACTTCTGATTAATACCTTTTCAGTTTTTCTAGCAACTCTCCCACTGCTACATGGAGAAAAGCTTTCATTGTTCCTAAGGTGCTTATTTGTGACCTTTTCTCTGCTTTCTGATTCCCTCTAACATGTTCTCAGTGAAATCCTTGGTGTGCAACCAAGACAGTTGCTGAAGTTACTGCAGCTTTCTGTGCAGTGGCTTTGGTAGTTAAAAAAGAAAATTAATTTAGAAGGAACGCCTCCCATTTTTATTTCAAAAGTGGTCTCGCAACTCACGGGTAACAGCTAAATGCCAGCAGTATGCATTTGCTCTCCTAAATAGTGTACATGAGGTAGAGAGACGCCAGTTCCATGAGGCTTCAGCTGAGGGGAATGCAGCTACATAATTATAACAAAAATTTCCTCCTCAAACCCAGCCTCTCAAATCCCTGTGTGAAGAAACAGCCTCTGTGGCCCGTTGGCAGGCACAGGAGCGAGTTCTGCAGAGGCAGGGCCACATTCTTCCTTCAGCAGCTTCCTTTCTTTGTGAGGAAAGTGTCCCAGTCCCGAGTTCATT